GTGGTGCTGGGGGATTGAACCGCGGTCCCTGATGCTTTGCCAAGCTAGTTCCAAGTAGGTGCTTTAGACCACTGAGCCATCTCTCCAGCCCCTGTCCTAGTCTTAAGTATGAGACTGGTGAGTAAAAATTCATACAGGGTTGTGGAAAGCAGTACTTTCAGATTTTTTAATACATGTATTGTTTGATCCCTTAAGGACATTCCAGAGAAAAAAATCTGCACATAAGCACAAACATTCACTGCAACAATTTTTGTACTTGCAAAACACAAGCACTATTTTAATGTTGATAAGGGATTCATAAAATAAATCACAATCTAATCAAGCCCTTTAAAGGAAATTTCTATGTACCAGCCTATGTATATGCAGAAATTCTCTAAGACATAGTAAGTAGAATTCTCTTAAGACATGTTAAATTGTTATCTACAGTATATTCAGGACAATGTCATTTTATTTATTTTTTATTTATTTATTTTTTGCAGAACCGGGGATCGAACTCAGCCCTTTGCACTTGCCAGGCAAGTGTTTAGTCTACTGAGCTATCTCCCTGGCCCCAACAATGCCATTTTAAAAAATACTATATAATGTATATATTTTATATGTATATGTATAAATACATGTGAAATGAAAAATACACACCAGACTATCACTTGTATTATCCTCTAAGGATTAGAGATAAAGATGGCTTTCACATAATGTGCCCATATAATATTTATGTACATAGTAATATATTTCTTATATCACTAAGTCTTTTTTTATTTAAAAAATCTATTTATTTACTTATTTGGTACAGGCTTAGCTGTGCAGCTCAGACTCATAGTGATCCTCCTGTTTCAGCCTCCCCAGCGCTGGGATTACAGGTCTGAACCACCATGTCTGGTTTCAGCAGTGTGCTTGGGTTCTGGGGAATCAAATCCAGATCCTTGCACTTGTCAGGCAGGCACTTACACTGCCAAGCTATCTCCCCAGCCCTTACATTTATTATTCATTTTTATTATTTTGAGACAGTGTCTCACTAAATTGCCCAGGCTAGGCACAAACTTGTATCTTTCTAACTCAATTTCCTGAGTAGCTCGGAGTATAAACAGGTGATTTGGCTAGTTTGTGAGGTTTTTGTTTTTTTTTTGGCGGAACCAGGGATGGAACTCAGGCTTTTATGCTTGCCAGGGAAGCGCTTATTCCACTGAGCCATCTCCCCAGCCTGTTTGAGGTTTTTGCAAGACTATTTCCTAGTGATTCTGTGCGTGGTCCCCTGCCCTGCTCCAGGAGGGAGAAGCCAGACTCATACCATCAGCACAACCGCGGTCCAGAAGCCTGCCTGAATGCAACAAGCACAGGACCACCCCTGTTGTGTGCTTGCCCAGCCATCAGGACGGCCCCTGGACAGCAGAGAGGACAGGGCAAGGGCCAGCTTCTGTCCAGGAATGAGCAGAAGCCACTGGGGAGGCAGATCCTGGGACGAGTTCAGTTCTCTAAAACCAAAGAATGAATTTTAGGAAAAAGCGGAGGTCATGAACAGAATATATTTACTGAGAGAAAGAAAGCTCCTGTCCGAGAAAGGGACAGGAGGGGAACCCCGCAGCAGGTGATTCCCCCTCACTAAATCTTAAAGGGTTACTTTTTTATGAGGAAGGGTATAATAACCACAGATTCATCAGATTATCAGCATTATGCACTAAGTCTTTTTTTTTTTTTTTTGCAGAACTGGGGATTGAATTCAGGTCCTTGTTTGCCAGGCAAGCATTTATTCCACTGAGCCATCTGCCCAGCCCTGCCCTAAGTCTTCTAAGTCTTTTTTTCCCTAAGTAGGTGCTTTAGACCTCTGAGCTATCTTGCCAGCCCTATGCACTAAGTCTTAAAGAGGTTGGTTTCTTTTTTTTTTTTTTTTTTTTAATGTATTTAGTATAGTGCCTACAAGGTCTCACTACACAGATCAGACTCCTAGTGATCCTCCTGTTTCCAGCTTCCCAAGTGCTGGTATTACAGGCCAGTGCCCCCCTACACACACCCTGGGGGCGGGGCCAGCATGGCCTTGGGTTGTTTTTTTTTTTTTTTTTTTTTTGAAAAAGTTTTTTTTTTTTTTTTTTTTGAGACAAGGTTTTTGAGACAAGGCCAGATCGCGCTGGCCTTGAACTCTGAGCTCTTCTTGCCTTAACCTCCCAAGTGCTAGAATTATAGGTGTACCACCACACCTAGCTGAAAGGTTCCTTTTTAAAAATAGTGTACCATGGCTTTAAGAGAAGGTTTTAGAATCAATCAACCATGTCTTGCTCTGCCACATCCCAGCTACGTGGTTTGGGGGCAGGTTGTTTCTCTCCTGAGCCTGCTAGTCACCACTTTGCCTCAGGTTGCTATCAAGAGGACACACAGAATAGCAACAAAAAGTACTAGGTGCAGTGCTGCATGCCTATAAATGCTAACCACTCTGAAGGCTGGGCAGGAGGATCTGCAAGTGGCCTTCTCCTGGCCTTCTGCAGGCAGGCACATTATGCAGGATGCAGCCACAGACCTAGATGGGAAAGTGCAGGGACTTCAAAGTACACTCGAGTCAAGAGCTAAGAGGAAATCAGTTGGGGACCAGGCCTTGAGAAAACAACAGATGCAAGTGGAGGCCAGTGGTGTTAAAACATAAGTGGTTAGGAACAAACAAAACCAAGACTGGGATTGGCCAGCTTCAGGACCTCCACTCTCCACCCACTTCTGCCTTGACCCTTTATCCCCCTTACAGCAAGTTTTCCAGTAAGCGCTGGCAAATCTCATCTCTCTTCCTTTGTGGGGGTTGGGGGCAGTACTAAGTATGGAGAAAGGTCTGGCACACTGGCTCCAGCCAACCGGGAGCCTGATTTCCTCAGAAAGATTAAGATCTGGACCCATGGAGTGGTCCAGCCCAAAGCCGGCACTTAGCCCAGGAGCTTCTATCAGACAATTTTCCTCCCTGCAACTCCCTAGAGCAGGGCTTCTTCAGGTCTCTTCCCCACTTGGCTGCTCATCCAAAGGTACCTGAAATAGTAACAGCTAAATCTGAGTTAGTAAAGAACTCCAGTTATGGGTAGGCTCAACCTTAGAGTTAGGCTCTGTACCTCTTGACTCATTTGCACCCTGGGGATAAGTCCATCCACACTGGCCTCCTTCTTGGAGCTCAGCTCTTGAAGGGGTAACACCCTTTCCCCCCACAGAAGCAGCTACCTTCATGCTTGCCTGGGAAAATACAACAGGGAGGTGCTAGAGTCATGTTACGTAGTATCCTAGAGAAATAAGAGGCCAAAGAGTAATGATTAAGAGCAAAGACCCTGCTTTAAAATCTCAGCTTAGCTGGGCATATAGCTCAGCAGCACAGTGCCTGCATGGCAAGTGTGAGGTCCTAAGTTCAATTCCTGGTACCAAAATAAAAAGTTAAAAAATAATAAAATCTCAGCTTTGTCTTTTGTTGGCTCTGTGGCCTTGGGCAAGTCCTGTTACCTCTCAAAGGATAATACTAACAGGCTTGGGGAAGATTAGACAGGTAAAATCTGAAAAATATGTGGCCTACACCATTTTAAGGATTCACTAGAGGATAGCTATAATTACGGTTTTTACAGCTTTAGAAAGAACATGGGCTTCGATAGCAGGTACACTAGGCTCAAACCCTGCCTTAGCCATTTACTAACCCGCCTAAGATAAATTACTAAACTTTTTTTTTTTTT